AAGCATTTATGGGGCAACTTTATTAGTAGAATATTGTATTATATAATGAGTATTATAGAAACTATGTCTTCTGGATAATTTGGGCCTGGAGATAGCATTTTAGTAAGAGGAATTTTTAATATTTTTCACATAAGGATAAAATTACTAGCATTTATGATAGCCAAACTTCATTAGTTGATACCAATTATCCTTTTTATTAAATATTTGGAACCACAGGTTTTCTTTATTTGTTCTTCAGTTTCTTTCCTACATTTTTTTTTTAAGAGAGGGAGAGAGAGAGAGAGTGAGAGAGTGTGAGTAAGGGGAGGTTGGGAGGGGTAGAGGGAGAGGATCTCAAGCAGACTCCTCCCTGAGCTTGACGTGGATGCAGGGCTCAATCTCACCACACTGAGATGACCTGAGCCCAAATCAGGAGTCAGACACTTAAAGCCACCCAGGCGCCCCTCCTTTCTACATTTTTAAAGTGTTTTCCTTTCATTTCTTTTTACTATTTCATTTAACTTTGAATTGCTGAAACCTTTTGAAAAATGTATTTTAGGGGTAGTATTTGTGTTTAATGTAGAAAATTCAATTTAGGCTTCCATTAAATCCGCTTTTACATTTTCTGCTCTAGACTTACCATTGTTTAATATATTTCTGGTGTAGGTAGGGGTACTGTCTACCATTTACCCAAATAAGTTGGCCTAGTAATTATCTGCAAATGGCATGTCAAGAGACCCCCAATTTTAAACACCCTTGTGTAAAAGGTCTTTTCTTCTAAAGTTAACTTCAGTCTCAGAAACCATTATTTAATTAAGCAGTTATATTGTGCTTAATATATAATATATATTTATAATATATAGTTGTTTAATTATATATAAAATATATAATATATAGTTGTTTATATAACTAATGCAATGTTAAAGTTAAATATTGATGATTGTATTGATGAATTATTTTTTACTATAGCACCTTTTAAGTTTGTGAATACAGCTCTCTTATTGTTAGATCCAAATGCCTTTGTATCCATTTCACGAAGCCTCATCACATATTCTGAGATTCCATATTTGCTACTTTCATTTTTTTCCCTTCCAAAGGCATGAAACTCAGAGCAATTGTAGCAACACAGAAATCACAAAATAAAAGCTAACTAAGACAGTGGTGTTTTTTAGGACTATGATAACCAAATAGTCTCAAATGACTCTCAAGAAATTTTAACACTTGGGTAATCTCCCATAGTTTTTAGATGATCAAAATAATGCCCTTTCACCTCTCACCATATTCTCTACCTCTTTGACATTACTAAGGAAGTGTGGAATATAAAGCTGGTCAACATCAAGACAACTCTGCTAAATACCCCTATGCCCATAGACACTAATGATTTCTGCAGAGTACTGGGGTCCCAGACTTAAAGTATTCATGTATAATTAATCTGAAAGTCACAGCAGAGCATATACATTACAAGCTGTCAAGTTATTTGGATGCTTAACTGAACTAATTAAATAAAGTTAAACCTGTGTATACATGTCTAAATAGCAATCTGTATCAATTAATTTTCCTGTTTCAGATTTACTGGTTCACCCCAACAGTCTTGGAAATAAGACCCACAGACACACACATTCTATTTACTTATTTATTTATTGCAATAGAAAACAGATGTGGGCAAAGTAAAGCAGTATTCACTTTTGGAGGGAAAGGATTGTTCATGCTCTGTGAATGAATTAACTCTCTGTGGATGTAGTAGGTAATGTTTTTACTATGTAACTTTTCATTTACAGCCCAAATCCTCTTCCTGGAAATACTCTGAAGTTGTAGCTCCAAACCATAGATTCTTTGGTATGGTGCAGGCCTAATTACCATCATTCTGCTCTTTCCCACCCAGTGTCATCCTCCAATATTTCTGATAGCCAGTCCTTTATTCTCTATTTAAAAATATCTACTAGTGAAGAGTTCATTGTCTCGCCTGGTAGCCCATTGAACATCTAACGACTATGACAGCTGGAAAGGGATTCCTTTGATTTGGTTTAAATCTGGCTACCTGTGCTTTGTATTCACTGATTTTACTTTGGCTTACAGGGTCTATATAGAAAAACCTACCACATCTTCATGATCATCTTTCCAGTGTTTGAAGTAAACTATCATTCTTGCCTTTCTCCAAAAGCTAATTACATCCAATTTCACTTGGCCTGCCTATTAAAACACAGAGTTCTGTTTCCTTCTCTTCAGAGGCTTTTTTTCATTACATCTTTGATGGGCCCTAGGATTTTTGTCTGTTTTATAGTACAAGCTGTGTAGTTTTGTTAGCCTATTTTCTGCATGTAGAATTCAGAGTCCAACAGCTTTCTTTGTTCCTTACTCTATCCCTTGAAATCCAAGGTGGCAGTATTTCCACTGGTATAAAATTTTTGAGAACCTTAAAGGTGTCCTGGGTATGTTAAAAGGAATTCACTCCAGAAGAAAAGAGGCTTATCCATAGATCTTCCCTAAATAATCCCATTTCTATTTGGGAGATCTGAGGTGAGCCGTCGTGTGACTGAATATTCTGATTTTTAAAAAATCTTTCTAAAGTATTAGCAAAAGGTTGACTAGCCATATTCTTGGCTTTTTCTCTACAGCACGCTTTCCTGGTAGTAAATCTGTCAATCTTTGTACTCTTCAGAAATTGGATTGGATAAGAATTGGATAAGCCAAGAATTTCCCAATCATCAAGTCCTGGTTACTTTTTATTTGAGAATTCTTTCTTCAATCTATTTTTTCTTCTTACATTTTATTGTAGGCAGCAGGGAGAAGCCAGAACACATTTTCGACACTTTGCTTGGAAATCTCCTCAGCTCTATGTCCAGTTTAACTATATACAAGTTATGCTTTCTATATAACTGCAGGACAGAGTTCTGTCAAGCTTTCCTCCACTTCATAACAAGCATCTCCCTTTCTCAAATTTCCAATAACATGCTCCTCACTTCCTCCTGAGTCCTCACTTAGCAGAGTTGTTAACAACCATATTTCTACTAGTAGTCTATTTAAGACAGGTTAGGCTCTTTCCATTATGCTTCTCAAAATTCTTCTAGTTTCTGCCTGCTGCCCAATTCCAACACCATTACCACATTCTTGGGTGTTTGTTATAGCAGCTCCCTGGTTTCAGTTACCAAAATCTTTTTGGGTCCAACCAGAGAAGCAGAACCAGTAGGGGATATAAAGTAAGATATTTATTGGAAGGGATATGTGATTGTAGAGACTGGCTAGACAAGTCTAAAATCCATAAAACAGATGGTCAGGAAAGGCAAAGCTGGAGCACTTGGTCATGGGCTGAGGCTTCTGTCCATAAGTGGAATTACTTCCTCTTCAGGGAAGACCCAGATCTACTTTTACAGCCTTCACCTGCCTGAACCAGGCCCTCCCTGATTATTTAGGATAATTTTTCTTACTTAACGTCAAGTGATTATGAACTTTAGTCAAATCTAGAAAATATCTTCATAGCAACACTTAGATTTGTGTTTGATTGTGTAACTAGGAACTGTAGCTAAATCAAGTTGACAACATCAGAAAGACCATCCTGGTACCCTATATTATACTTCTATTCACCACAGCCTCCTCCATTTGGATGTTCAGGCTTTGAAGGGATTTATCCTCAGAGACATCTTAAGAATTACGATAAAATATTTCTATCTTGTTGCCTTGTTGTACACAATAGTTCTTCAATTAGTTGTTACCGCTTAACGAGCTGAAAATTATTTCTCCATGGGGCTTAAAAGTGTGATGTATATTAGATACAGATTCTTTTTGTTGGAAGCAACATTGCCAGTAAATAGTCTGTTGCCTTGCTGAGGACCAGCAGCATTGACATTACCTGGGAGCTTATTAGCCATGCAGATTCCAGGGCCCCACCCCAGCACTCCTGAATCAGAATTTATGTTTTAAATAACCCTCATTTGATTCAGTTGCACATTAAAGTTTGCCTACTTTCTTAACTGTTTTAACTGTTATTCCTGGCTCTACATTTCTCTTTCCACACCCAGTGTGCTTTCCTTCCTACAAATTTGAAAATAATTCTTGAGTCTAAAAGTTTTCAACATTTCTTCATTCATAGAAGTTAAAGTCCAAATGGCCTTCAAAATCCACATGACCTTCACAGTTCTTCCTATTACCATGTACTTTTCTAGGTACACCTTACTGAACATACACAGGGCTACACTACTGGCACTCTCCTAAGCTACTATGCCTTCTTTCCTCTGTGTTCCTTCCATTCTCTGTTCCCCTGCATGGATTGCCCTACAACAACCTGGTTGAACTATGGGAATCCTAACTTGCCTCCTCCAGGGTAAAAAGAACCCATGTTGTTTATCTTGGTAATTGTGCCTGATACATAATAGATATTGATTATTTATTAAGAGAAATATAAATGATCAGAGTATAACTCCCCAAAATAGTTTCCAGGGATGCTGTAAAAGCTAATTTATATTAATAATAACCAAACATAATAGAGTTCTAGGTGACAAGTCCTATTATGAAGGCATAGTTATTATCTCATTACATTGCATGACATTTCAGAGGGGCAATTATTATCCACTCCATTTTACAAAAAAGGAAACCGAGATAGAAAAAGGATAGAGAACATAGTCTCATAATTAACGTGCATTTAAAAAAAAAACAAGGCTATCAGATTTCAGAGTTTACGTGCTTGCTATATGGCTTTACATACATATAAAAACATTTTTTCACAGTCTTTTATAAGTGTAAATTCTAAAGATTTGTGTGGTAATTAGATATGTAATCAATAGTGACAATTATCAATTCATTTTTTGAAGACTATGGAAAACTTTTAGAACACCATAGAAAAGGTGAAGTGCTGTTTTAATTAAAACTATATTCAGTTAACAAAAAACCTTTTAAAATATCTATTGCAGTGGATATGTATGCTTTTTTGCCCACTTTCTCTAGTTTATTTTTGGATACCACTTTCCCCCACTCTAAGTTATTTGGTTAGGGTGAGATCAACTCTTTTCCCATTCCCTATTTTCCAGGAGTGCACAGGTGGTTCATACCAGAATGGTCATCATATTCCAACTCACCGGCTGCCATGACTGGTTCAGGGATGAGCCTATGACTCAGGTAAGCCCAAGAATGAGAATTCATTGGGTAGTTATTAATATATTGGTTGACTGTCTAAAATCATAAGAGTAGAAAAGTGAGAAGGAAAGTCAAAGAGGGAAGAGGTGAACCAGGAGAGACTGGAGTCATTGAAATCATCGCAGGAGTTTCAAGAAGTGATGTATGTGTATCATGAAATTACCAGCTGAATGGTATTTATGTTTTTGAAAGTATTTGTCAAGCAAATACTTGGACAAAATATTTTACTCACCAAGTAGCTATAACTTCAGTCATCATTGATTGTTCTCAGCAGGACCTGTATCTGTGTAAATAGGCATATTATTGATTTAAAAAAAAAGGTAGAAAAAGGTAGATATCTCATTATTTTCTTTTTCAAATCAAAGTTCTTCTTTTAAGGACTTTTCCTTCACTCAAGGCAATACTGAATGAGTCAGCATGTTAATGTTTTGCTCTAGTAAATCTAGTAATATCTTCTTATTATATTGATGTTTTCCAATGCAGTAATAATTGCCTAGCTGATTGGTAGTGATTTATTTATACCCATCTATTCATTCAACAGCTGTTTATCAGGCTTCAGACATGCAGCAGACATTGTGCAGAGGGAATGAGATTCAAAGTTGTTTCCTAACCTACAATGAAAGCTCCATAGGAGCCCCTGACTCAGAGCCTGGTGCTTAGCAGACATTCAATGTTGGATCACATTATCAGAAATCCATACCAACGGATATGGGGTGTATTTCTGTATTAATTTAGCAATGGTAGCTGCTGAGGAGCCTTGCTCGGCCTTCAAGTATCACCTGTGACTCAAACATGAATTTCAGGCTCTGGCCTCTGCCCTTTTTTCCTCGTTGCAGTTATTCCTCATAATGCTCAGGTTTAATGATATACCTTTGTTTAGTATCTCACAATGAAATGATAAATTCTACTTAGCATCAATATGATTTTGCATATGGTGCGGAAATGACACCTTGATACCACAGTAGACAATGATTTTGGTCCCAATTGGTTTACTAGCTTTAGTGGGTTGAATTGTGGCTTCCCCCAAAAAAACATGTCCACACTCTAAACCCCAGAGCCGATGAATGTGACCTTATTTGGAAAAAGGGTCTTTGAGATATAATTAAGTAAGGATCTTGAGCTGAGATCACCCTGGATTATTTGGATGGTCTCTGAATCTGATGACAAGAATCCTTGTAGGAGGCAGAAGACATAGAGGAGAGGGCTATAGAAGATGGAGGCAGAGACTGGAGCAAAGCTGTCACAAGCCAAGGAATTCCTGGAGCCACCAGAAGATGGACTAGGCAAAGGAGGGTTCCCTTCCAGATCTTTGGGAAGGAGTGCAGGCCTGATGACGCTTGATTTTGGACTTTTGACCTTCAGAACAGGGACAGAATAGATTTCTTTTGTTTTAAGCATTAAGTCTGGTCATTTGTAAACGTAGCCTTAGGAAACTAATTAGCTGGTTCACACAGATTATCTAACTAAGGATTCTGTTGTGTTGTTTATAATAATTTGGGAAAGTCAGTATCTCTACTCCAATTCTTGTCTCTGTCCAATGGAGACATTTGTCTGTCTTTTTGAGGTTTGATGAAACCCAAAGTTTAGTGCTTCTAACCACAGATGCCCCAGAAAGCCCATTTAATGCACACATATGAAATTTCTGAGTGAAGTGGCCTCAACAAGTGGTCTGGAGATCTCAGTGCTTCACTTCATAAAAGTGCCACTGGTTCTGAGCGGATATTCCTATGGATGCAAAGTTCTATTTACAAAGCTCCACAAGTTGACAAAGTGGCTGGGTCAGAGAGCCAAGACATATTGCTTCTGGCCCTACCCAACTCTGGGCTGCTTTCTTTACCTCCGGTGCATCCTATGAGGGTGTTAGGCAAGTTCCCTTTCTGGAGAGAGACCTTTGAAAAATTAACCATTTCCTTCCCATATCCAATCCAGAGTATGTCCACTCCCCTTTATTCTTTCTTTTCCCGGTTGGTTTCCTGGGTGTCACCCATCATAATTGTGATTTTGTGAACACCTGCTTGTCCGTCATAACTCCAAGTTCAAGGAACGTAAGAATCATACCTAACATATTGTTTGGCACATAGTAGGTCCTCAATAATAGTGTTATTATTAATAATGATAAATAGTGAATGAACATTTGGGGGGGGGGTAAGAAAATGTCTCTTAGGAGGTGTCATCTGTTCAAGAACAGATTTCTTTGGTTGGTTTTTGTTTGTTTGTTTGCTACATCAAACGCCGTAGACTTTCAGGCCTGAAGGAGAAGTAAGTGGCCATTTAGTCCAGCCCCGCAGAGACGCACGAGGACCCTCGTCAGCCCTCCCGACAAACGCGAGCAGCAGCATGCTTGGCTGAGACATCCTTGGTGACGGGGAACTCACTCCCTCTGGCCTCTGCCAGTCTGCTTTCCTTCCCCACGCCTCCCCGATATTGCACTCTTCATCACAGCGCTTTGCACGCGCGCTGCAGCGGAGGCCCGGAGGTCTGGGCTGGGAGGAGCGGGAGGAGCAGGGGAAGCGGGCGCCCAGGCCGGGTCTGGAGGCCCCCGGCGGGGCGCGCGCTAGCCCACCGCTGCTCCAGCCGCGCGCCGCCTGCCTGCTGGGCTCGCCGGGGCCGCCGCTGCCCGCCCGGAGCGCTCTGCCCCCGCGGCCCCCGCCCCCGCCGCTCCTCCCCCCGCCCCCCGGCGCTGCGCGGCCCTCCCGCCCGTGCACCTCGGCCGAGGAGTCCGCGGCCCGCCGCGCGCGTGCGACGCAGGTGCCCGAGCCCCGGCGCCACCGCCATCTCCGCCTTCCGCGTGGTTGGACCCCGGCAACCAGGTGGGACCCGCTTCTCTCCCCTGCGCCCCCGGGGGCCGGAGGAGCGGGGCGCTGGGGCGCGGAGCCCGCGGGCCCCCTGGGACCCGGGAGTCCGGGAGGACCGGGCGGCGCCAGCGCTGGGGGGCGGGGGGCGGCGGGGACCGTGGGCCCCCGGGCGGGGGAGCGGGAGGCTCGAGGGGCGAGGTGGAAAGGGGCGCGCGTCCGACGCCCCCCCCCCGGGCGCGCACCTGCCGCCCCCCCCCCCCCCCCCCCCGGGCGCGCACCTGCCGGGCCCCTCCGGAGGACGAGCCGCCCAGCCAACTTCTTTTCCAGGTCTCCCTCCTACTTTGGAAACTGAAGGGACCGCGACACAAACCAGTAAGCCCTGGGGCTCGGGGAAGGATTTGTTGGTTTGGCTGACAAAAGAACAAACTTTGTGCTGCAAGGGGCGGTTTAACATCCGAGCTTCTCTTTTCAACCCTCTCCGATTCTAACCCCCCCGCACCCCCTCCCCAAGAAATGTGAAAAACAAAATAAAATGACCAACCCGATCCAGCTAAAAGCACTTACCTAACAGGACTCACAGAGGTGAGAAAAATAGACCTAACTGAGCAATCATTGGAAACCCCAGGTCTGGCGAGGCAAGCTCAGAAGCGGGTTGTTGCCAGTGCTATTTCTGGGACTTGTGTTTGCGAACAGGTGAGCTGGCTCCTTTACGTGTGGCAGAGTTCCTTCCGTTGAGGGCCTGCCCGGAGTGCCTCTGGTTCCATTAGTGTATTGAGACACATACTCTTTCAGAGCTCTGGATTTGGAGTCAGAATATCTGGATTTTGCATGATTGGCCATTTACTATCTGTGACAGCTGTGGTTAGCTTAACCTCTCTGAGCCTCACTTTCCTCATCTGTCAAATTAGAGGTTTCCTATTCTGGAGGCCTTTTAATAATATTTAAGATGTTTCCCGACTTAAACATGTATGATTCTGTAATTCTCTAACATGCTGCAAACATTGCGAGGCTCATAATTTCATGAAACTTCAAAACTCTTATTTTGATCTTGGCATTTTGTTTGTATGCATTTACGACTTGTGTCTTTAGGGTTTTCCAACCAAAAATTAAAGAGAAAAACACTTATTAAAAGACTTCGGAAATGTATAGTAAATATTTAGATTATCTCTGACTCTACCTTAGGGAATTCTGTTCAACTTTAAGCCAATATTTGCAGTACTGCAACAAAAACATGTGGCTTTAGCACAGCACTTCTTTTCTGGTATCGTATTTTTGGAGGAAATAAAAATTGTGTTTGAGGAAAACAAAAATTGTGCCTTTCCTGTCAATTACTGATCTTGAAACATCTGTTACTTTTTAGCATAAGATTGTGTGCAGAATATTAAAAAAGTGGCTTCAGACCATTTCAGAGCCTCTCTGAAATTAAGCTCAAAAGCAGAGATGCCAATTTTGGTAATGCATTTTTGTTGTCTTGGAATGAAGCCCAGAAAATAGCAGAGGTTAACTAACCAGGTAAACCAGAAATTAGGAATTGACACATACACACACACACACACAAAGTTGTACAAGAAGCGTGTGCCCCAAAGTGTCAGTGAACCTTTTATTTATTTTTGATAAAAAATAAACAACAAACAACTGTTGGCTTGTTTCAGCAGACAGAGGATGTTAGAATGGCTTTTGTTGTTACTTGTAATTTAAAATTATTTGAGATATGTTCATCAGCAGATAGGATAGGTTTTAGAAGTGTTTCTGGCTCTTTTGGTGGCTTTGATATAAAATAAAATAATATATTCCCACCCAGTATATGCATTTTGTGTAGTTTGGGAGAGTGGAAGGGATTTGAAGTATAATACTCTTTTATGAACACATTTCCTTATTTCCATGGCCTCTTCCTCTTTGGCTTGGAAGTATCCTTAATCACTCAGGCACTTGTCTTGCTTCGTGTTCTCTGGTGAAGTAGGTGATCATCTCCTTTGAAACAGATGCTCAAGGAGTTAAGTAAATTGTTTGTTGAATGCGCAGAAAGCAGGAAAACCCAAATACCCTGCTTTGTAAGTGCTTATTGGAAAACAATAGATGGATCTGACCACTTGAAGTCTACCCCCAATTCATTCATGGCTTGGGAGTGTCACCATGGTTGGCAGGAGCTCTGTTCCTCTTTTGTAATGAATTTACCAAGGAAAAAAGGGTCATGTCTTCACACTTAGATCATTATTATATAATCCAATGGTTTTTGTTTGTGAAGTGCAATGTCTCTGGGGGCCTTGGAAATAAAACTTAAAATATCCAGAGAAAAAAATTGTCTTGGCAGTTACTGTACTATTTCTTTCATACCGAGAACCAAGCGCATATACTAAAAAAAAAAAAAAAGTATCCTGTGGAGTTAAAAATGAAGAAAAGAGCTTACAGACTCCTCTAATTCTTAAGATTTTATGTGATTTGCGAATTCCACTTTTAATTAAAACAGAAAGGCACAAATATTCACCTACTGGCCAGATCTAGTACATGTAACCTTTTGAAGTTTCAATTCAAATTTGGTCTGCTTTTAATTTCGAATATTCTTTCTCACATACTTTTAATTAAAACTTTTGTGATGCAATAGTGATATTTTCTGATGTCTTTTCATGCACATGATCTTATTAATCTTTAATTTTTTAACACTTTGAACATATATATGACATATATATACAGAAGAGTTACACAAAACAAATGTAATGGTTGGTTGACAAATAATAATAGCAAATCATTATAACAGACAATTATAAGACAAATACCCTGTTATTTGCCACATCAGTAAGAGGACATGCCACTATCTAGAAACTTCTTGCTTGTTCCTTCTTGATCACAAGTTTAGTTTCACCTTTAAAAAAACATTATATGAACTTAAGAGGCATTCTTTCATAGATGGTCTTGCATTACATGTTTGTGAGATTAAGCCATTTCTTTACTCCCTTTTAAAGCAAAAACATTTTTTTAAAAAGATTTTATTTATTTATCTGAGAGAAGAGAGAGCACAAGTGAGTAGGGGAGGGAGAAGTAGGCTCTTCACAAGCAGAGACCCTGACATGGAACTCGGGATCATGACCTAAGCCGGAGGCAGATGCTTAACCAACTGAGCCACCCAGATACCCCCCAAACAAAACCTTTTTAAGAGAGTTGTCTTTGTTCCCTTCTGCAATGCATCTCTACATATTTTTTAAAAAGGATCTTATTTATTTATTCATGAGAGATAGAGAGAGAGGCAGAGACATAGGCAGAGGGAGAAGTAGGCTCCCTGTGGGGATCCCGATGCAGACTTGATCCCAGGACCCTCAGATCATGACCTGAGCCACCCAGGCTCCCTGCATCTCTTCGTATTACCTTTAAACCCATTCCTGTTAATCTTTTGTTTTCAGTACTCTACCAAAACTACCCCTGTCATGGTTACCAATGACATCACCTTTCCTAAATCTGATAGTTATCAGTGTTATCACTGTCTGCTCATTGTAATCCTTCACTATTAACTTTCAGGTCACCAAACACACTTGGTTTCCCTCCTTCTTCATTGGCTGGTCAAGAGCTTCTCTAAGATTTTACTCCTGGAATGCCTTAATGTTTAGTCCTCAGGAGCTCTTTCCCCTCGACACGCTGATGACTTCATGCAATCTCTTTATTTTTTTTTCTTTAATTTCTACAGTTGTGTACTGGTGACTCCAAAATGATAGCTCAAGCCTTGACCTCTCACCTCTCTATCAGCTGCCTAGTCAACATTTCCATTTGGATGTGTAGTAGACATCTCCAGTGCTACATTCTTCAAACAGAATCTTCGTCTTGCCCAAGTCTACTCCATCTGTAGTCTTTTTCACTTCCAACCACCCTTTCAGTTGTTCTGGCCCCATAGTCATCTTAGTTTTCTCCCATTCCCTCATACCTGAGATGTAATGTGTTAGGAAATCTGCTTTGCTCTATCTTCAGAATCAATCCAGAATATAATTACTTCTTATCACCTCCCTGGCTGCCACCGTGGTCGCAGCTGTCATTATATCCCATAAGAATTACTGCAAGGACCTCCTAACCAGTCTCCCTGCCTTTATCCTTTGCCGTCTATGATCTATTCTCAAAATTGCAATCAGAGTTTTCCTTTTACTGTGTATATCAAAAGATGTCACCTTTCTGCTTCAAAAGCTCCAATGGCTTTCTAATTCATACAGAGTAAAAACCAAATTTCTTAGGATCGCCTGCAAGACCCCTACCTGATACTTCTCTCCCCTTTACCTATCTGATCTCATTTTCCTACTGTTTTTTCACTGGTCTTGATATTCCTTGACTATATCAGAGGCCACCTTTGTTCTTCAGTTTCCTCTGCCTAGAATACACTTTAAATGTTCAAATACTTTTCAATGAAGCCTACTCTGAATATCACATTTTTCCCCCACTTGTTCTAATAGTTCCCTTTTTTGGTGTTTTCCGATTTTCTATGGAAAAATTTAAAGGAGGCAATTGACCACTCCTGACTGTTAATCTGCCATAATTTCCCCCTTCTTGTTCCTCACAGAATATGTTAGCTACCAAAATGGCCTACAAGGCACAGACACAGGTCAGATCCAAACTCCAAGAGAAGGAAAGGGCTCTAGATAAGAAAAAAAAAGTAGGACAAGAAAATATGCCTCTTTCACTGTCCTGGGGAATTGCTCATATTAACCTTCTGCTTTTCAGAATGAGCATTTTGATAATCTTGAATGCGTTGGAGCAAGTGTGGGGTTGGCTTTGGGTGCATTTCCATTAGTGGCCTCCACTCATCATTTCCAACAGTTTCCTTCTGATGGGTTTGGAAAATGGTAAGCTATTTGTGAGCTTCTAACACTATCACATTTCCTTGCATTTGGAGGGAATGAAAGTCTAAAAAGCACTCTTGTCTTTCATGTAAACAGTTCCAAACCCGGCTATGACTGAATATCACATTTAAAACTATACATCCTCTTACTTGCAATATACTTTCTCCCCTTTCCTTTGCTTTTCCCCATAGTACTTATCACCTTTTAAAATACTGTGACTGGGACTCCTGGGTGGCTTAGCAGTTGACCATCTGCCTTTGGCTCAGGGTTTGATCCTGGGTCTGGGGATCGAGTCCCACATCAGGCTCCCTGCAAGGAGCCTGCTTCTCCCTCTGTGTCTCTGCCTCTCTCTCTCTGCGTGTCTCTCATGAATAAATAAATAAAATTTTTAAAATAAAATACTATATGACTTCTCATTTACTATTTTTTTCCTGTTTTATTTCTATTCAAATATGAACTCTATGAGAATGGATTTTTTTTTTCCTATTTTGCTCACTATTGTATCCCCAGTACCTGAAATAGGGCCTGGCACACAACAGCTGCTCAGTAATTTTTTTTGTTGATTGCTGCCATATAGAACTGATAGTGGCAGTTGTTTTACATTGCTGGATATATTATATTATGAATATAATATCTTTTTGTTTACTGATTCTGAATGATTGGATCATTTTCATTTCTCCCTACCTTCCTCCTTCTCTTCTTTCCTTCCTACCTACTTCCATCCTCCTTTCTCCCTTTCTTTCTGTTTCTTCCTTCCTTCCTTCCTTCCTTCCTTCCTTCCTTCCTTCCTTCCTTCCTTTTCTTTCTCCCTCCCTCCTTTCCTTCCCTCCTCTGTTCCCTTCTTTCTCCTTCTCTTCCTTTCCCTTTCTCTTTCCCTCT